AAAAACGTGACGTCATATAAACTTTTTTATCAGACCATTCAAATTACAGGTTTTCAACCAGTTTTATGGCAACAGTTAAACAAATAATCATATCAGATAAATTGACCACTTCACGCGCATCAAAGTACCGCACAAACAGTTACCAAATTCACACATCTGGATGAAATACCTGGCTCGGATACTTGACAGAATTAGGACAAACATGGAACAAGTTCTAACGCTGCCGGTACACCGGGATGATACAACAAAAACAATGTCAAGTGTTTGGGTAGATATGAAAATTGGTATGTACAAATATTTACGCACAGAATCCATCATAGTAAAACCAGGTGCGGTTAAGTCGGGTCACAAGTGGCGCATGTCCTCCGATCGGCTCATATACTATAGCGAGATGTCTACAGTCAGTGAAATCCATTCAACATCTTTGTCAAAGAACCTAAAAGTTAAAGTTCAACGTTATTTGTCTAAGGACGCAGAAAAAAACATTTTTTTTCAACAAATAAATCAACAAAGGCCATCCGCAGAGCATTGGGTGAACTTTTTTTACAAAGTTTGTCATAGACCTTACAATCCAAACTACTTCACATACATGTATATCAACCTAAAATTCAATTGCGTTTGTCAAAGATTTAGAGGGAGCAGCATTCGTGTACTACATCATTTCAAGAGTCCTAACTCTTTATTCAATTTTTTAGTCACGTTACAAGGCAATTAAACAAATTCCAAGGTAGCGTCTGTGGCCGAGTGATTAAGGTCGTTGACTTCAAACCATCGCTGAGGGTTCGATTTCCGAAAGGGACTTCGGATTCTTTCTTGTGAGGAAGCTATCCAGCTAGCTTGTGGAACGTTTGGTGGCTCTACTCAGGTGGAGGAAGACTTCAGGTGCCCCTTTATGCATTAATTTAAGCACGAGCGGGCACTTACAAAGAACCACTGACTCTCTATAAGCAAGCTAGATACAGGTGGACTTTGATTATACCAATACGACATTTGGTCGCAGCTTTTTGCCAAAAAAATAAAAGTTCATAAACTTCTTATACGACTCCGTATGATGAAACACCATTCAATCGAGGAAAATTCAGTGGTAGTCAACCTCAAACTTTTCAATTCCGGGTCCGCCCATTGAAAAGACGCGACGCTACCCAAACATACTTCCGGTGCCCAGAAACTAACGGAATATACTTAAAAATACACTCGTTTATAAACTTTAAAAACATCTGAAAATGTCAGCAACCCCAAACATTAAAATTTCAAATCACCATTGTCGTCTGGCTACACAGAAATGTCTATTTTCTACCTACTAGTATTTTCAAACTGTAAACTTTGATCTTGAACTTGTCAAAATTATGCAGGTAAACAAACGAATAAATCTACATAAATTTGGCTCAATTATCATTTATTGATACCTTTTATATTCCAAAACAGTAATACTTTAAAGAATTAATTAACTATTAAATGTAAACAGTGACAATGATTTGCATATGCCACCAGTAAAATAAACAGTTAGTAAAGAAAATACATGTAGTTAGTTTGAAAATTCAAAGCAGTCAGTTACAAAAATTCAGCAGTGTCAACGACAAGTAGGAATTTGATAGTAGCTATGTACATTGTTCCAATGGCCAGGGCATTAATTTTACACTCTGTTAAAATATTTGCCAACTTAAAAAAAATCAATCAAGGCCCTATATAAAACATTTCTTAAAGGTACATCTACCTGTTCATTCTATCATAGATGCAAACACGAAAATAATTTCAAAATATCTTATTTTATGTATTATGAAAATGGGTCCGAGCATTTACAATTGCCCAAACCATCACTCTCTCTCTCTCTTCATGCGATACATTTTCGCATTTTCTCTAACATCTTTGCTAAGAAAATGACAAGAAAAACAAAAAGGTCTTTAACTTTTATTAGCACTTATAAGATTAACAGTTATGATAGAAAAATATGACAGTAAATGGCTTATTCATCTAGATAAATGTAGAATCGTTGACCCTTAACCTCCTGAATTTGTATTATGAAAATATGACCTGCTTTTAATTGAATTTTGAACAGTCCATTCACAGTACAAGGGATCAGTGGATTTCAATTTCAAAATACAATTTGAATCATTAAAAGTATAGAGCCTGGTCAGACTGTGAGGGATTGCAGGCCGGTCTGGTACGGAATTGCAGTCTGGCCTGGTACGGAATTACAGGCAGGCCTGGCTCTATAATGTATGGCAAAGGCTAGTCACTTCCGGTTTCAGCAAGTTATGGGTTGTAAACGTTTAAAATCCACTTAAGACAAAAAATAAACTATATCTAAAATAGACATTTATTATAAATAAAATATAGGAATGTAAGAAAAATTATACAAAATCTCTCATTTAAATATGACACAGCAATAAATAGAGAATTATGTTAAAGTAATTCTTGAAGTATAAAGCTATATACATGTATAATGAAATATTTCATAAAATTAAAGCAGCATTCCTCCAGATTAATGCTAATTTTTATATAAAAGTAAACTATTTTGAAGTGAACAAACTTGCAGTCCAGGTGTATAACAAAAAAGAGATTAAAATATGCAAAAATAGCCTTACTGCGTTAGAAATGCAGTAGAAATATTGTGATGAATACTGCATAATCAATTATAAATTACACATAAAATGTTAATTATGACTTGTATCTTAAATCTTTTTACTTCTTTAACTCTTAGGACATTTTTTCTCAAAGTTTATTTCCTTAATATAGTTCGGCTCATCTGGAGGCATGCAGCTTTATGAAACAGTAAAATCATATTGTTCCAGCCATAAAAAAGAGTCATATCATAGAATATAATGTCACTGTTATTCTACAACAAGAGCTGTCCGTAAGACAGCGCGCTCGACTTTTTTATTGCTTGCCAATAAAAAAGTTTTTGCAGTAAAAGGCAATACAAGAATCTCTGTATTTTGTGAACTAGTTGTTTGATACCCTTGAATATTACAGCAATGTTTATATGACATAATTTATGGTAAAGTGAACAAGTGGATAGGAATGAATTTTTTTAGATTTTTTAAGTTTTTTAGTGCTTGCCTATAATACAAAACATTGACAGTTAAGGGCCATAATTCAAATAAAATCTTTGACAGAATTACCTTCTCCTGGACATGTTTGGGAATCATGATTGTAAACAAGTATTCCAACTTTCAAATTAATATCTCAAACAGTTCAGTCAAAAAGTGGACTGGTACTAAAAACTTAACCAAGATTCTAAGTCGATAAAAGGCCTTAATTTTTAAAACAAATCCTTGACAGAGTTACCTTCTCTTGCGTACAGATGGGGGTAATGATGTGAAATAGCATTAAAAGTTTCAAAGCAATATCTCAAAGGGTTAAGGCAATAAGTGGATTTTACCCATATTCAATGTATTTTCTAAGTCAAAAAGGGGCATAATTCTGTCAAAAACCTTGACAGAGTTATGTCCTCTTGTCTGTTGATGAAAGTCGTGATGGTAAACAAGTATGGTCAGTTTCAAAGCAATACCTCCAATGGTTTTGAAATAAAGTGAGGTGGTACAAAAAACTTAACCAAGCTCAATACACTTTCTAAGTCAAAAAAGGGCCATAATTCTGTCAAAAACCTTGACAGAGTTATGTACTCTTGTCTGTAGATGGAGGTTATGATGGTGAACAAGTATGGTAAGTTTCAAAGCCATACTTGTAATACTTCTGAAATAAAGTGGGGTGGTACGAAAAACTTAACCAAGGTGTGACGCCAACGCCAACGCCGACGCCGACGCCGACGCCGGGGCGAGTAGGATAGCTCCCCTTTTCATAGAAAAGTCGAGCTAAAAATTCATATTGTACGTAAATAGAATAGAATAAAGTGAAATTATGCTGCTATTTCAAGAAGGATTCTAACCATTTGACAAAGATTTCGCGCATGCGCCATTCGCTCTCAATGACATATACAAACATCTTTCTTCCATTCAGGTACCTTAGAACTTTTTTTTTCAAAATTAAAACAATTATTTTGTAAACTAAGGTGATCAGATATATAGCTTTATACACTTTAAGGATATTTCTACAAAAAGTCTTAACAAAGAGTTTCTCTAATAATTTACATAATTATATAAACAGTTTTAGTAATAAGGAGATAGGATAGAAAGTTTCATAACAAAAAGGGTCATTGATTATGCGATCATTTTCGAAATATTTTCCAATACATTCTTTTACAAACAATATTTTCATGATAAAACAGTTACATATCCCAAATTTGTTTCTTTGTTATAGACAACAAAATGCAGCTTTATACACTTTATCATCTTTTTCATCCATAAAACTCAATATATCTAAAAATCTAGTAAGAAAGTAAGAAAACAACATTTTAATAGAATTATAAAACATGCATAATTAAATACTAATATAATATCACATTATTTGGAATGCTTTCAGTCAATTGTTTGTATTACAGACTAGAGCGTTAAAATATATTCAATGATGTGGTCATTCACAAATAACATTTTCAACTATATTATCACTTTTGATGATTCTCCTAAAGAAAACATCTAAACAACTTTAACATTCTCTAGCACACTTATAAAAACGTTGAATATTTCGGAACAGTTTTGTATAGCACTATAATAGTATTACATGTATTCCTTTGTCTTTACATTTGTTGTCATAACAAAAACCAAGAACAGTCACCAAGAATCCAAGTCCAGGCCCGCCCTGATTTTGTTACCGCTATAATTGTTATTTGTAATATTGTCCTCCTTAACACACCATACTGTCAGCGACTGGTTCCATGTTGCATTTATATCATTCATATCACCATCATTCATATCAGCAACAAGAAAGAGACGTTATCATCTTTGAAAATGTTATTAGTAACTGTTATAATTACAAACAAGTATTATAGCACACAATCACCTCAGTACCAAGAGGATACTTCCAATCTTAACCATTAACTTTGCTTCAATATACGTTAACAATCATTCATCTTCAGACAACAACAACAAAAAGTTTAGGTCTTTAATTACAGTAACTAAATGCAGTGATCTTCGCAATATCATTTTATTTTCGTCCGTCTTTATCAGTTAAATGATCCGATTAAGGCACTGATAGTCATTTGACTTATGATCACAGAAATATAACGAAAGCAAGGAAAGAAATAATCAACAAATTCAGATTTCTAATTTTCAAACTGAATGTTAAACTGGGCTGCGAGCTCGGCAATTTTATCTTCTTGTCCGGTCATTGCGTAATATTCCAACAATCGTTCAGCCTCTTTAATCTGACTGTGCTTCTCATCCATCTGCTTTTTCTGCTTATCAACTTTTTTCATCTTCCTCTTATAGGCCAGTGCTAACTCTTCAGTAACTACTTCTTCAACGCGTATCATTTCCTTCTTCAACCGTTCAATCTTATCATGAATATTTGCCAAAGCTTTGTTTTTCCTTTCATTTAACGATATGCATTTACGGCGTTGCAATTCTCGGATGAACTCAGACGCGAGTGAATAGAAATTCACCTCAAAACCATCAGGATCTCTTTCAGCTTTACTTGTTTCTTTATCATTTTTTATACATTCTGAGGCTTTATCTGCAATTGTGTTTTCAGATGTGGTATCAGGATTTGACTTATCGTCGTTTACTATGTCTTGTGATGTTTGTGAAATAGGTGTATCAATATCTTTTGTGGTTTCTTCTTTTGTTGGAAATTCAAAGTCAGAATCATCGTCAGTTTGGTTCCAATCAAGTCTTCTTGTGGCACACTGCTTGTTATCAAAGATGAGTTTTAGCTTATGTCCAAGAGCATTATAAACCTCGTTCCGTATTGTTTCTGTTGATACATTAAATATGGTACGAGGCTCTTCAGTTTCAGTTTCAGTGTCACAATTCTCTTCCTTGTCAGTATTTCCCTGATGAACCATTGCACTGTCGTCTGCTTCCTTGTCGGTGCTTGACTTATCCTTATTATCATCTGTATCAATGTTACTAGCGGTTTTAGAATCTTTTTCCTCTACATGTTCATTACGTTCAGCTGTCTTTACAGTTTGTGCATTGCGTAATCTTTGGTGTACAGTAGCCATTACATCATCAGGAATGTTGTACTTTGCCATGAGGTTTTCAATGAGAGAATATATGGATTGGCCAATCTGATTCAATTTACCTCGTATTATTTCCCTCTTCTCTTCAATTGCAGTGACATTTTCATCACTAACAAGTTGGTCTCCCTGGTTTTCTGTTGTGTTTTGTAGTTCATCATTATGCAAGTTATTTGAAATATCTTTTGACTCTTCTGCATTGTTATCTTCATGTTTCTCACTTCCTTTATCAAGTTGTCCATCTGATAGGCATGTACTCTCTGGCGAAGTTCCTGTTTCATTTTCTTCCTTTTTTTCTTTATTTGCTTTGCTATCAATATGTTGCTTCTTGTCATTCATAATCAGAGTTTTATGAATCTCTAATAAAGTTTTGGTTGCATTCATCGCTTGAACCTCAGCCAGACCAGCAATGGATGCATCTTCTTTTTGACAATCCTCTATCCTCTCCTTGTCTTCTTCAGATGCTAGTTTAGCCTTTTTTGCAATGTCAAACAAATGCACAGCAATTTTTTCAACGTTGAAGGTGTACTCGGTTAGGAATAAAGACATTCGCTGATAGTCATCCTCTGCGAAGTAGGGATCAGAAAGATTTGCACTAAGGTCTTCTTGTTCTTTTACCACCTAAAATGATAGAGTATGGTCATCAGATTTTTCTGGCAACATACAAATATAAAATACCTAAAATTGGATTGTAATTGATTGACAGAAAATGAAACAAATCCTTCAACATACAGCTCTGAAGCTAGTTATATTACTGCACGTTGGTAGGGTCGATTTTCATTGGATAATCGTGAGGTTTATATAGCCTTTATACACTGATGCTGTAAACTTATGGCATGTTTTCATTTTTTCACAAATAGAGGAATTGTACTACATTAATAATTGCTATAAAGATTTCTGGCGGGTTAAATATGGCTTTGTATAAATTGTTGTTTGCAATATAACCCTCGCCAAGCGGCTTGGCTTATATAAACATTCAACCGTTTATACATGGCTGGCCATATCTCATAGAAAAAAAGTTTTATAACTATTTATTTACAACATAATAGGCAACAGAAGTAAAAGATGGTTCAGGTAATTGATCAATGAGTAACTTTACAGGGCATCAAAAAGAGAAAAGATTTTTTGACAAATAAAAGTAACATAATAAGCCTTGAAGATCAAGTAAAGTTTCCATTGACATTTACATAAACAGGGTACTGGTGTCATTTCCACCTTAAGAATTTCTTTATCAGCATTTTTGAGGCATCATTCTACGGGACAATAAAGGGTACAAAGGGGGATATTTTCTATATTTTACTAAAAGAATAAATATATTAGGTCTAACACTACATCCATGTACATGTGTACTAGTATTTAAATTTGATGTATGTTTAAAGATTAAACTGGTGCTAATCTGGGATTATTAAATGTTACTTTTAATATATTTACATGTCAATATGAAATAAAATTCATGAAAGGATAGTTTAATATGTTGATTTGTGGTAACCTGATGTTACTACATTTGTATTATAAAGAATAGTAAATGTAATCTGTGGTTTTGAAATGAAAGAAAACGTAAATAGATAAAAAGAAGTAAATTCATTGTGCATTTGTAAGCGTTCTGATCATTTAACCCTTTAGTAAAATATCTTTTTCTCTCTTTTGTCTCGAAAGAGGGTCAAATCATCATCCCTTAAGAGTACGAGATTTTTGGCAGGTGCTTGTTTTACGTAAGGTTAATTAGATAGCACTCAATAATAACTGTAAACCAATACACCCACCCCCACCATGCCTGCTGGGAAGTCTTAGCTAGTTATACTGTGTAATGAATGATCCCGTCTCTAGAAGTTTACACTATTCGATATCCCCTTACATTATGCGGTGTTATAAAGTTTTAATGTAACTACAGTCATTAGTGTACATGATCAGATAACCATGACATCTGTCTACTGACCTAGATAAACATTACCAAGCCAATAAAACAGGCCATCAAATGAATGTTGTTTTTAGACATACATACGCAAGATTACGAGAGAAAACTGCAGTATCATATGGGACATGTGTCAAATATTTATAAAGCAGAATAGTGGCTTTATTACAGCGATTAATATACTCGTAATAGACTAATTTCACTTCCTGCTTCCTATATACAGACAATGATCTTTGTACTTTGGTATGTGACAGTGTATTGACAAGATTCATATAATCCGATCACTTACCGTTATAAACCGATTCATCATAAGATTTCCAATCCATTCTTGAGGCTTTAAGCCGCCTACACTCTCCTCCAAGACTGTGTCCGTCTGTCCACATCGCTCGCACCGTAGAACTATCGTACCTGACTTCTGTTCCCCGCAATATGGGTGTAAACACGCCTTGCAAAACATTGAAATGTCGCCGGATCTGTCGGCAGATTCGTCGGTGTTTTCATCGTCGTCGTCTCCCATGAAAGCGCGCATAAAACCGCTCACATCAATAGTAGTTTCTGTTTCGTTCTCGTCGTGATTTCCCGAGGTCGCCATATTGTTTACTTAAGTATTGATTTAGTCAAGGGGAGTTACTCTTAATTACTTTATACATGGGATTTTCACAACAGACGTACTTTATAGAGACGACTGCATTAATCATTATTAAAACTTCTGTTTGTTATTTTAAAAAATAATTTAAAATATGTTTGTTATTTTAACAACCCGCTGAGGTTTAAAAAGTTGCTTACTTTAAACACGGCTTTAATTAGCCGTGCTATATTGATTTCATCGCATCCGCATTTGAAATATATTTGCAGAACGCTATGATTATTTATGAAATTTATATTATATCAGTTAGCTGAATCATCTTTTACAATTACTTTAACGTATGAACTGGTTCGATGTGCGTAAGGCGTTTTTTTCGGGCTTTTTTTTCAACAATTTGCATTGAACTCGAAATGAATTTGTACAAATTACAATTAATTATATATGTTTATGTACATATAAGACCATTACTTACATACACATTTTTATAAAAGAAAACAACTGCAACAAATACAACAATAAAATATTCTTTATTTAGTAAAAGTGCATTTATTTAGGTGCGCTATTGTGCAAGGGTACTTTATCCGTGTTTCAGGATAAATGAAAATAATCTACTTATTAATTTGCATTCTTTTATAAACAATTGTTTAATTATTGATAGAAAACAATAGTGAAAAATACAATTTGAAGGCGAGGCCCCCACTCATGTCACTATATATTCTGAATGTTTCATTTTTTGATTGCTTGTAACAGCGAATGACTGTTTCGTCATTTTAAGTAGATGTTAAAGAATGCCCCTACACTTCGTTCTGTTTCTTGACCCTACCATGACATAATAGCGAGAGTTGTTTAATAAAACATATCTAAATATACCCTTTTCTGTTTAAGTGTCATAAAATAAATCGGCAAAATAAACCAACGTATCTTAAATTAAACTGATATCCGCTTTACGGTTTGTAGATAAAGGTTTTCACGAACACATCTTTATATTTATTTCATCTATAAGTTTAAAATAAATTTGTGATGTTTTTAAACAATATTTATTTATTCATTCATCTTAAGGCTGTATGAATTATTCCCCATGCAACATTAAAGGGCGATTGCGAGTGTATGAAGTCACGTGATCAACAGCTGAATTCTGATTGGCTGTTAAATCATATAGTATACAGTCTGTACATGTACATTGTATACTGTATGTCACACATCTTGAAGAGTGATAACAAGACTGTTGAAGTTTTTTTCGTTACAAGTTTTCGAGGCAGTGAAAAAACTGAGAAACTATTGTTTGAACTGATTAAAATTTTCGAATGATGACAGTTTAGTGCAGTGGTTGTGATTCGTTGGAATAGAAGCATATAAATTTTGAAGGAAATAAAATAGCGAGCGGTCAACACAAGCGTTGAAAACATGTCGTAAGTAATACTTTCAAATTAATTTTATAGTAAAACCCAGAGGGCAAATTAGTGTGTTGTTAACATATACAATTCAACATATGAAAACACATTATATCAAAATATTGGCATAGTATTACAACATGTATAATTATTTGTGTAATAAATTTATTTTCTTTCCAACTGTCAAATGAGCGCGCATTTTATATATACTAATACAAAATGTTATATAACTGTTGTATGGTCTTGAAATGGTTCTTCTTATTTACGTTTTAAAATGACGGACTTTCGAGACTAATATATTGACGGCTTTAAAATATATTTATGTCGAGAATTAAAGCTTCGGATTAAGAATTTTTATACAGTCATTTTCTTTTCGATAAGATTATGACATAACAAAGTTATTTGTTGACACACGGACATTTCTTTTCAATTTTGAGATGAAGAAAAGAAAGAATCTGGCTAACGGAATGTGTTTTGTTATCACAATAAAAAAGGGTAACATTTTTTGTGTAAATGCACGCTCCCATTTAAATTACCGCTATTGATACAAAACATGTATACAATGTAGTTGTACTACATGTGGAAACGTTTTAGGGGTCAAAGCCCTTTTTATGACCAACCGAGCGTGTAAACGCTCTAAAGAACACAGAAAAAAAGATATGGCATATAATGCGCGTGTCATGTAAATTTCTTTTAACACATCTTTTGAGAGAGAAAATAAACTTTAAGGCCTTCTAAAACAAGATGAAATATTTATTCTTTATTTCTATTTTCGCATGCTTCTGGTGTTCGTTACTGTATGTTAATATAAAATAATACACCTATTAAAAATGGTGTCATATTTGTATATTACCCGTTGTACTTATCGGGAAAGAGTTCTTACAGATTATTTTAAATAGCTCTCGACTTATTTCTTACATCTTAATCTTGTACCTATCCTGGTAATAAATCATATGGCACGCTTTAAGTACTTAGTCTTATAAGTTATATACGACTCCGAATTTATGTCACGTTTTGTTTTGACTTTTAAATAAGAATTAATTGTCGGCTAACTTATACATTTATACTATTTAAAGAAGCAACATTACAACGTATACACAAGTATACAGCCAGGAATTCGTACACACGACGGTTTTAATGAATGTGCTTTAAGGTTAGAGTTAGGTGCTCGTACCCCATACCACTGGTCTTAAACGCGAACCCATTCTGAAATAAATCGGAAGATTAACCTTTTACCGTCCATTGGTGTGCAAGTTAGGAGTCTAGTGAAGAAGTTGTGGAGAAGAGGATCAGGCCAGTCAGAACATTGGAACGCTGTTTTTTTTTATAAAAACTTGGCAGGTTATATAACCCGAGAGTTATATCACATGCAGCTCCATTATATAACCAAATTCTCAAACAACTTACAATATCAATGTATATCAAGAGTTCATTTGTAGTCAATAAGTTACATTTGTTTCAACAGGAAACAAGGCGCATCAATTTCTGTCGCATTCTTTAACACTTCGCCCATAACCGATGATTGAAAAGGCTATTAAATAAACTTTAACACAACCATCTTGTTAGCATTACAAATCATAACAAAAATAATCAATTTATGGGATGATGGATTGTTTTGTGCGAAAGACGACACAGTTTTTGTTTCAACAAGATAGTGCTTGCGTTGCTCTTTTTTTAAATGCTATCATAATATATGATTGTCTACGTAACATTTAATGTACACCCAGTACCTAGACGCTTGCTTTGTTTGTTTCTTTCATCGCCCTAAAGTAACCCGTCCCACTATTGCTAATGTTACTTGTTTGCATGCGCGTTGAGACCCCCGTGCATGCTTTTTTTTTGGTTCTAACATAAGGCCGCAAAACACCCTCAACCCTGCCAAGACGCTTGCTTTTTGGATGACCTGGAATTAACATCAAGCCCACCAACGTTGCTTATGGTATATATGGGTCAGTAAAAAAATAATCATTTATGTTAGAATAAAACGTGCAGTTACCAAATATGACTGTAATGAATTTACATTAGAATGGGATTTTTTTGTAAATTTTGATGACTTAGCAACTTTGAAAAGAACAGAGAGGACCACCTAATAGTTTCTGCAGCTAGTGCTTTTTTAAAACGCACGGAAACAAACACATTGCTCAGTACGGAAATTTAGAATATCGAGCATTTCTCTTACATCACTGCGAACTTACAATACACGTGTATTAAGTTTTAAATCTTAATAATTAAAGCATATAAAATATTTCGCATGATTGTTTTGTCATACTTGTGATCTAAAATACAGATATGAAAATCTGTTAATGCGGCATATTTCAAACAATGGATCTCGTCTTTAAGCTTACATTAATATTCGTGTTTTGCGACCACTTTAAATTTCCACATCTTATTATTATATAAGGATGGGAAGCAAAATGCGACACCTTTGCTTACTTAATTATTAGGAAAAATGATATATTTTACTAATCCTAGGTCACGAGATCCTAAATTCGTCATATTTTGTAGAAATTTTAAATCCGTCCTATTGAAGTCTTAAATGCATTTTTAAGGGCCCTGAGAAGCGAAGATTTTTTTTCTTTGCCCTTGCGGATCGATTTTCAATAACCTATGATTGATAAAATTGAGGTTTATATTAATGAGCTGATAAATGGGTTTTAATTCAATCTAAGTAATCTAATGTTATATTGAATTGCCTGCATTTGAAACATTTGATTAAACACACTAAGTGGTCTGATAGTAATTTAAAAATACCATACCATTCTTTCCAATACCCAAAGTTAATGTAAATTAATTAAAACATTATATAATGATTTTCTTGTTAAGATATCGGACAGACATTTATTCAAAAGTTTTCCCGCCGAAATAAGTTAGTAATTACGTGGAAACTGTACTGGAGTACAAATATTCAAAGACTTGATAATATTAATAATATTAATTTTGACTTATAAACTTTCGGATATGCAATTAAATATCTATTTTTAAACATTTCTTTATTACATAGATAACACTTCCAGTGTAAATAGCACTTCCGGTCTGTGAGAGATGAATCAGACGACAAACTCCTGTTGTTGTTGTTGTTTTTGTTGTTGTTGTTGTTGTTGTTTTACAATGCAATGTACGTGTTGAAATGTTCATGGTCACAAACCGAAGGATGTCAGCTATGCTTGATTTATGTTAATCATTTTAAGAGATACTTTTTAATTCTTTCCGGCAATCTGTTGCATAAAGTTTATTTTCGGTTTAATTCAATGCGTCTGGACTGGCGTCTGAAGAGCTAATGAACCCAATCGTGCACTAAAAGCGCAAAGTAAAAATTGGTGAAAGAGAGACAACTGTCACAACAAAATACTTCTAAGCACATTAGCATGTCTTATTAAAACTTATTAATCGAAATCAGTATGTTTTATTTCATGATTTACATGCAATTAAAACAACGTTTTGCGTTTCCCTGATCGAATGTGTTTGAAGTGGAGATTATCTTTATTATTTATTGTCATATGAATAAAAGGTCATTTCCACATCTTTTCCTTAAACCCTACTATAAATAACTTTATAACTTTGACAGTTGATTTATTGTATGAAAATCTGAATATTAGCATATTAATAGTAAATTTCAAATCTAAAAATAGATTTTTTTTAAAAAGAAATTTATGGTACTCGGCAACAATGTAAACGAGCGACTAATTAACGTTTTCAATGGGTCATAATTAAAAGAATAAGTACATTTGAATTTATACCATTGATCACTAATTATATTTTAATTAACGAGCACTTCATGTTAATATTAATGTATGCACTTTACGGTGAAGTATGTGTAAAGACGGAAATGCAAAAAAAAAGATGCGTCACTTATCATTTCAGTTTAACATAATTGCGTTCTCCCAACTGTCATTATATGACAGATATACAACCGGTCATATATCGAATACTAAATGATTTATTGACCTGAGTTATAAACATGCTATTTCCCATAAATCCCCGTGCTGTAATTCATGTATTGCTGATGAGCTCAGCCATAAAAGTATTGACCTGGCTATTTTAAATTAAGGTGATAACTGGCACCAAACAGTGCATTCCAGTATTTATGATGTAGACCGAAGTATAACAAATTCTTATGTATAGCACGTTATTGCCTTGTTTAATAGATGGTCCTCATGCACAGTTTGAAACTTTTTTGGTCAAGAATAACACGGCTGTATTCCATTTGATGGCATGCTTTATTAGTAATACGACATGGTCTCTCCGGCTTGATGTTGGTCGAGCGTATTAATGAACCCCACCCCAGTCCGTTTCTTGGAACTACTCAGTACTTGTGTTAAATGATAATTCACATGGTCGTGAACCGAGTAGCGCTCGAACACACGACTCCTGGATCAACCATATGATGGATCAACCATATGACCACTAGTCTATGCAAGCAGGTTTTCACTCTTGTTTTACTAGCAGACGTTTAGACAAAGGATTGCATCACCTTGCACTATTAGTTTCTCACAGACTTATTAGATAAAGTGACCTTTGTTTGAGCGATAAAGAGAAATATGCCAACATTTGTTGTGTTGTGTCACAATATGGAATGTAAATTCAAAACAAACTGTTTATGATAATTATGCGCTATACCATCGACACAAAATTTAAGAGTAGATACTGTATTAGCTCTGTCTTAGTACCGTCATGTTCCGTACAAATAAGTATAGCATCATTTTCTTTATTTTTCATTAGAAACGTTTCTGTACAAATAACAGACGGACAGACGCCAGGTTTTTAGCGAAGCTGTCAATCAATTTTAATTCGTAATTCTTCTATTAAAATGGCTCGTTTTAATGTCACCTATTTAAAACAGTATGAGTTGTACCTATTCATTTTCCTAACTTTTTTTGCGTGTTTTCTTAACATTTTACACGACCAATCAATCTTCTGCGTTAACATTATTACATAATTAATAATATTTTTGTCATGAAAATTAATAATTGCCCAAAAATGTGACAGTTTTATTTTGTATAAAGATATTTTATGTGATT